TATATATATTATGTGTGTGCATTGGTATCTGTGTGTGGGTTTGTGCATGTGAGTCCGGTTGCCTGTGGAGACCAAAAGAAGGGCCCTGAGTCCCCTAGAGCTGGGGTTACAGGTGATTGTGAACAGCCTTGAGTGGATGCTGGGAACTGACTCTGGCTCTCTGCAGCAGCAGCATGCACTCTTAACTGCGAGCTAGCTCTTCAGCCTCTCACTTTGCAAAACTTTTGTTAGTGTCCTGCCAGGTGGCCCAGCTTGGCCATGAACTTGGACTCTTTCTGCTACAACCGGGAGTTATAGACACGTATCACTATGTCTGGCTGTAAGCCTGCTTTGTGTGTGCTGAAATGTTTTAAATAAATGGACAGTACTCTCTATAAGTTAACTGATACAAAATTTATTATCAATTACAGAGATACAAAAGTGTGAACTATAATACCGGTAATTTGCCATAAAGCACAACAAAATGAAGCCCTGTGCCTTACACACCTGTGTTCCCTGTTGTTTGAAATGCAGAAGCCAGAAGATAGTGACTTAAGACTAACCTGCCGGGCGGTGGTGGTGCACGCCTTTAATCCCAGCACTTGGGAGGCAGAGGCAGGCAGATTTCTGACTCCGAGGTCAGCCTGGTCTACACAGTGAGTTCCAGGACAGCCAGAGCTACACAGAGAAACCCTGTCTCGAAAAACCAAAACAACAACAACAACAACAAACAAAAAACAAACAAACAAACAAACAAAAAACAAAGATTAACCTGGGCTACATCTCAAGACCCTGTCTCAAAATCAAAACAAAAAGCTCCAAAACAAAGAAAGAAACAAAGGAAAATTCGATAAATGTATCTAGATCTCTACAATGGTGATTTTGCTAAATAGAAAATTAAAATATATTTATTTTATGCATATGAATGTTTTGCCTGTATACATGTCTATGCACCACATGCGTGCCATGCTGCATGGTACCTGCGGGACTGTGCTGTATATCCTGGAAGCTGAGTGACAGATGGTTGTGAGCCATCATGTGGGTGTTGGGAATCACACTCAAGTCCTCTGCAAGAACCACCAGTGCTCTTACCACTGAGCCACCTCTCCAGCCCCAGAGCAAATTTCTTTTCTTTCTTTTTCTTTTCTTAAAAGATTTATTTATTTTGTATATGTGAATACATTCTTTACACACACCAGAAGAGGGCATCGGATCCCATTACAGATGGTTGTAAGCCACCATGTAGATGCTGGGAATTGAACTCAGGACCTCTGGAAGAGCAGACGGTGCTCTTAACCACTGAGCCATCTCTCCAGCCCCAGAGAAAATTTCTTAGCAAAGGAATACACAGAGACACATGTTCAATAGTTTTCTCATGTCTCTGTTTTCCAGGGCTGGTATTACAGGCAGGTGATGCTAGACCCAGCTTTTTATGTCAGTGCCTGGTATCAAACCCAGGTCTTTGTGCTTACACAGCAAACTCCTCATTTATTAAGCTATCTCCTAGCCCTATATTCTTTTTTTGAGACACAGTTTCACTATGTAGACCAGGGTGAACTTAAGAGATCCACCTGCCTCTGCCTCTGGAGTGCTGGGATTAAAGGCGTGTACCACCATACCTAGCTCCAGCCCCCCCTTTTTTACATTAATATGTGAATCAAATTTAGTTTCATACATTGTAGAATTTTTTAAAAAATGACACAATTATGGCATTATTATCACAATTTATTGCTATGTTGTTTTTTCTTTAAAATAGGCACAGGCTTATCAACTTGTTTTTATTTTAAGTATCTATTAATTGTATTCAGTAAACTCTCATGTCACACAGTTCAAACTTTAGAAATGGAAGTCCAGGTACACAAAGATAATCCATAAACTCCTACTTCAAAACCTATCCAGTTAATAGAAAAGACTATTAGTGAGGACACAATAAGAACACATTTACTCACATTTGAAACCTCTTAGAAGTATCTGTAACACAGTTTAGAACCTTTGCAAAACGGAAAATACTTTTCAGTTTTCATAGTTTTCATACCTCACAGGAGAGCCCCTTGGTTCTCCAGCAGGAAGGTTACCTTTTATTTTACATACATTTCCTATGAACTTGGTTGTCTGAAATTAAAAAAAAAAAACTCAAAAAACCTGGGAGAGGAAGGCACATTGCCAGTTGGCTGCTGGAGCAGGTGACAGCAAAGTTGTGAGAAACAGACATAGCTTAGAAAACCGAAAACGAGGTCACAGTGAAATAGTAAAAGGTTTTAATGTTCGCTATAGATTATCTGTTTGTCTCTCTATCTCCATAATAGATAGCTACAAAAATACAATTCATAGTGATGTCTATTAATTATTGGAAAGACATGTAAATATTAAATATACTGCCTAAAAAGTAGAACAATATATATTTTAGAAGTATTTCTATGAAAATAGTTAGAGTAAGTTTTAGAGCTTCAGAAGATAAAAGTTTGAGTAGATTCATGCTCCATCTTGTGCACCCTCGTCTCGTTCTCAGGTTAAGTGAGGCAGAACATAGCAACTAAAAAATGTAGGCCTGACTGATTCCCGCTTAGTAGTAAAGCCCATTAGAAGACATGCGGTAAATTTAATAATCATCAGTTCCCTTATTTTCTAGATTATATTCTCCCAAAGTCCCCTTTTCTCGTGCACTTGAATATGCTATGAAATCATGAACTTTTCCTTTTAGAACAACCAGTTCATTTTGCATCTTTAATAAGCTATTGTCATACTGAATCCCCTCAAGGGTTTTCTGCATCTCCATGATTTCAGAAACTGCCCTCAGCATGTCGTCTTCCATGTTGAACATCTGGATAGTCAGCTCTTCCATCTTCCGTTCTGTTCCTATCAGATCCTGAGAGACTCTGAGAACAGAGTGGACAGCATTTTCTATAGTTGGCAAGTGTGCCTTGCACTCTTCTACTTTGGGTTCGTAGCTGGAGAGTTTATTGGTCAGATCTTCATCTCTGGCTAGGAGCGTGTGCTGGTCTTTTTCTAGCTTCTCAACTGCTTCTGTATCAGAACTAAGCTGTGCCTCTACCCGTAGAAGATCTTCCTCTTCTTGCCTGCTCACTGTTCTGATGTTTCGTAGCGTGCTGTCTTCCAAATCTTTTAGACGTTCAGTGAGCACTTTTATCTCCTGCTCAGCTGAGTTAATCTTCAGGGTAACTTCAGAATGTGTATTCTTCGCTTCTGATTTGAAAACGGCTGTATCAACGCTCATTTCTGCCAGTGTTCGCTTCCAGAAATCTGTAATGTTCTGGAATTTCTCAGTAAGGTCTTGCATCTTCTGTGTGAGCATCTCTTCAGTATTCTCTACGTCACGGATGGATCTTTGGAGGCCAGATACTTCCTGTTCAAACTGGGTCATCAAAGACATGGACGATGTAGCTTCCTGGAGGGTATTTTCAGTAGACTCAAGCTGTATTTACAACACAAAACAGTCCCTGAGCTACTCAATCACTTTTTATATTAGAGACACATACTTTAGCAGTCAGGAGCATAACATATACAAGGTTCAAATTCTGAAGATGCCTAAAATATCTAAGCAGTCTGAATCCCATTAACAGCAACATTTATTATTAATAGTTTAAACAAATTTAATGGAATAGCCTTATGTTAGAAAAATGTATACCTGAACTCATAATCCTAGTTATTTAACATATGTTTTTCATGAGGGTATAGTCAAAAGAAATGATGTTGAAATTTTTTGAAGTATATTGTAGTTCTGTTTTTTTCAAAACATTGAAAGTAACTAGATGCCATTTTTTTTTTTCGAGACAGGGTTCCTCTGTATAGCTCAGGCTGTCCTGGAACTCACTCTGTAGACTGGCTGGCCTTGAACTCAGAAATCTGTCTGCCTCTGCCTCCCAAGTGCTGGGATTAAAGGTGTGCGCCACCACTGCCCGGCCTAGATGTTATTTTTATGGCTATTTGGCTTGTAGGAAATTATAACAATATAGACTTTGCTACCTCCTCTAAATCCTAGGACTTTGTAAGTTTCTGGCTGAATCTTTATCATTATTTTTGCTAACCTCTTGCAGAGAAAGGACTAAAATTGGATTGTAAAAGGCAAAAATGAATTTTTATAAAGATAGCTGAAACAGGTGACATCAAATGGCCAAGTATTTATCTGTAAATCAGGACACGCCCTAGGACGTTTTAGACCAGGCCTGGGATATTTAGAAGGCTATGCCCCGGACTTAGCTGGTTTCTATCCTCACATGCAGGAAAGCTTTAGAGAAAACCTAGAAATGATTAATAAGCTATGAAGTGTTTGCAGCACTGTCCCGTGACAGGACACGGAACATGACACAGTTCTGCCCTTCAGTGGTTTACACAGGGAGCAAAGCAGTTTGCAGACATTCTAACAAGGGACACACATGGAAGCACTTAGTGGAGTCCTGACCCAGACTTCAGTGACCAAGCAAATTCCTCCAGAAGCACTACCTGATAAATCCCCGTCCCCACTACTTACTAGATTAAGGCTTTGAAAACTGCTAAGCATGTCATGCAACATCACTAAAAAACCTCAGATGATTCCTGACACTTGTAAGACAAGTCTACAGCCTTAGCATTACCCATCAGGACATCCTGCAGTACCTGTTATATTATTAGTTGCTTTGAGTAGTTCCTTGAGTGTTCCTTTTTTTTTTTTTGACAGACCTTGTACAAGATGCTAGTTATAAAATATCAATTTGGGGCTGGAGAGATGGCTCAGAAACTGCCACTGACTGTTCTTCTAGTGGTCCTGAGTTCAATTCTCAGGAACCACATGGTGGCTCACAACCATCTGTAATGGGATCTGATGCCCTTTTCTAGCGTGTCTGAAGACAGTGACAGTGTACTCACATATACATACATAAAATAAATAAATCTTTAAAAACTATCAATTTGATGAGAGCAGACAATGCTTTGGCTCTTCTGTATCAGACACTCTAGGGTCCTGATGGGAGCTACTACTCATCCTCCGTGAGCCAGTTTCCTTTCTAGGTGTTAGAGAAATAGAGCAGATGCAGTGTTTGTTCTAAAGGGGAGTGCGGGAGACAACAAACTAGTAACTGGTGACATTACGTGATGACAGACTCACCACGAGGCACAATGAAAGCTCAGATAAGGCAGGAGAGGAAAGTGGGAAAGCCTAACGTGACTGAGATCTGCCTCAACAGAAGGATTAACTGGCCAGGTGAAGAGCCGAAAGGTCCACATTCCTTCCAGTTTTATTGTGGTGGGGTTTGTCCCTATATATTAAGAGTTTCAGGAAAACCTCTCTCTCTCTCTCTCTCTCTCTCTCTCTCTCTCTCTCTCTCTCTCTCTCTCTCTGTCTCTCTCTCTCTCTCCTTCCTTCCTTCCTTCCTTCCTTCCTTCCTTCCTTCCTTCCTTCCTTCCTTCCTCCCTCCCTTCTCTCTCTCTCTCTCTCTCTCTCTCTCTCTGTCTCTCTCCCCCTCCCTCCCTTCCTTTCTTTCTCTCTTTCTTTCCTTAACATTTTTAGTTTTAAAATGTTCTGTGTATGAGTGTTTTCCCTCCATGAATTTATGTGTACCACATGTATGTAGTGCTACAGACATCAGAACAAGGCTTGGCATCTCCTTGGGAACTGGAGTTATGGATGGTAGTGAACCACCATGTGGGTCCAAGGAACTGACCCTGCGTCCTCTGATAAGCAGCCAGTGCTCTTAACCACTGAACTACTTCTCCAGCTGCCGGAACACACTTCTTGATGAACATGGACAGTATCTGACATAAGGGAGATGCAGAAAACCCCTGAGGGAATTCAGAATGACAACAGCTTTCTGGGATCATCTGAATGAAGGATCTCTGTAATAGGTGAAACAGTGTGCTATCCAGGGGTTAGATGACATGAGTACAACAGATCTAGTTAATCAAAGAAGACCACTCTGAAATGTCTAAAAGCCACTTTAATACATGCGTGTATCCACACCACAGTTAGAAGTTCATTTAAACAGGAGTTCTGAGAAACTCTTGTAACTAGTAATAGTGTTAGGTTTCGTTGACTGGATGGAGCTGAGTACATCCATCTTAGTAACAAGAGTTTTTACCCACTAAGCCATCTGGTCCCATGTTGTAACTTTATATCTAAAGATCAAACACACCTTTGTTGTTTTGTTTAGCCCTGGCTGGTCTGGAACTTGCTGTGTAGACCAGGCCAGCGTTGAACTCACAGAGATTTGCCTGCCTCAGTCTACAGAGTGCTGGGATTAAAGGTGTGTACTATCAAGCCCAGATGAAGCAAAAACCATACTTTCAACGCTTCCTAGGAACGAACTTGGATCACAGGGAGAATGCCAAGAAGGAGAAAGTCTGCTTAGGAGTTAAAACAGTGATAGTTTGAAGGCAGACGAAGGACACTTGGACCTGAAGTAGGAGAATGGTAGTAGGGGAGAGGGGAGCATTTCCCCAAATATGTTAATTAATACATTACCTTGTTGGAAATTGAACTGATTTTACTCTGGAGTCCTTGAAACTCGCTGCTCTCTGTTTGCAGTAACCGGTATTGTTCTTCTACCTTCGCAAACTTTTCTGATTGTTGAAATACAAGCCTGAAAAGAAAAAAATAATGACTATCACTCCTGGTGAGAAAAATATGTATTCCCCGATAGCTGCTGCAACAGATGACTCCACCATCCAGGCGGCCTGCTGTCTGGGAGACGACTGCATTAACTCAATGCAAAGACGAGTCAACACCGCCTCTCTTCAGAGCTCATGGCTCAGGGAGCGAGGCACAGGAAGGAGCATCTCTAACAGATGTAAGAAAAAGAAATGTTTGGAAGACTCCAGGGTTGAACTCTTTGGAGTAAAAACTTTGATCTCTTCTGAGGTTATAGGCCAGTAGTTCAATACCCAACACTACCAAGCTATCATCCCCCAAACTATCGTCCAGACTATGGTATGCAACCTGTAATTGTATTATTCAGGGAGGTAGAGGCAGGAGGACTATAGGTCCTAGGTCATGCCGTCCTCTATTATTACAGAGTGAGTCGAAGGCTTAAAGGCCAACATGAGACTTTGTCTCAGAAAGAAGTTAGGAAGAGATAGAAATACAGAAGTGAGCCATTGTCAAAGTAATAGAACACATATGCAAAGCAGGGTGTGACAACTCTATTTGACTATACTCAACAGTATACTCGTAGGTACAGTGTAGACGTCATTCTGAAATGAGGGCTCAGGGTGAACGGAGATGACTTAGTTGATAACACGCTAGCCATGTGAGCACAAGGACCTCAGTCTGCTCCCTAGCACCCATATAAAAAGCTAGGGTTGGTGGTGCACTTATTATCCCAGAACTGGGAAAGCAGAGACACAAGGATTTCTAGGCTAGTTGGTCAGTCAGCCTAATCTAATGAGACCGACGCAGATCTTAGTGGGAGACCCTGTCTCAAAATCAAGACTGCTGGCTCCTGAGGAGTGATGACAAAGGTTGACCTCTGGTTTCTATATGCACGCACCCACATGCACACTCACACAGCCACACAACAAAGTAAGGTTAGTGCCGAGGGTATGTGTGGCTCAGTGGGAGAAAGGGTACTTACCTGACATGTCAAAGCCCCAAGGTTTGATCCAACATACAAGCAAACAAAACTGGAGTGCTCTCTTCATCTGACAAATAGTAAAAGGTAGAAGAAAAAGAAGGAAAAAAAAACCCAAAACAACAAAGAAAAACAAACAAAAAAACAAAAACCGGGGCTGGAGAGATGGCTCAGCAGTTAAGAGCACCAACTGCTCTTCCAAAGGTCCTGAGTTCAATTCCCAGCAACCACACCGTGACTCACAAACCACCTGTAATAGGATCTGATGCCCTCTTCTGGTGTGTCTGAAGACAGCTACAGTGTACTCATATGCATAATAAATAAATAAAAAAATCTTTAAAATAAACCAAAAATCGAAAACCAAAATCCAGCTATCCTTGGGCTGGAGAGATGATAGCTCAGTGGTTAAGAGCACTACGTTGCTCTTCTGAAAGACACAAGTTTTATCTCAAGCATCCACAGGGCAGCTCACAACAGTCTGTAAGTCCAGTCCCAGGGACCTAATGCCCTCTTCTGGCCTCCAGCGGCACCAAGCAGGTGTGATGTATAGACATGTAGATGAAACACTCATACACATTAAAAAAAAACAAAACCTATCCCAACCTTTAAGCATCTGATGCTTTATTGAATGAGTTAGCCAGACCCTTATCCTAATCTTTGAGACAACAAACGGACATGCTTTTGGAGAAGATTTGAAATGAGTAGGCATAGAAGAACTGCCTTAGACTTAATATCATCTTAGTTATCTACTGTAAGTCAGTTCTCCAGGCTCCACATGCTTTATGCTTTGAGTTATCAAAAAGCAACCGAGCAGAATCACAAGTGCCTAAGTCATAGAGTCTAGATTAGTGACTGCAAATCTTCCCTGATTATTGGAATCTATCACCAGACAGCTTTAACACATCCATGCCTGGGACCCCATTTACAGAGGTTCTTAATTAGTCATGAATATGGCTTGGATATCGGATATTCTAACAGCTTCCCAGGTAATCTGACTATGCAGCCGAGCTGAGGGTCACTTGTTGATCATCTTTTATAATATTTTCCAGGTTAGACAAAGGATTCCAAAGCTTCATAGAGAGGTGAGAGGCCTCTCAAAGTGCAGCTGACTTGTGTTTGAGCTTACAGTGGTATCTCAAGGTTAACTACTTGTAGGATGGTAAAGCAGAAATGGATGCTTTTGCTAAAGAAATATTTACATTGTTGGATGAAATAAATTTCCTTTGATGATGTATGCTGGTGTCTATCATATGAGACGCAAGTTATAAAATTAGTCGAGATCAATTCTTCTGTGTATTTAATACGGACTAAACAAAACCCAAGTTAAAAAGGATTATTTTCCTAAGTTTAAAAGATGGATGATGGTTAGACATTTTTTCTTCCACTCCGCCTCTTTAAAATCCTTTGTCTTGTTGCTAGGAATCTAGAACTCGTGTCATCCTGGGGGAGTATTCCACTGCTGGGCTCCATCCCCATAATTTTGTTGTATTATACGTTTTAAGCGTTTTCCTCTTTCGTAGACTAGGCTTACCACCCATAAAAATGAGTTAATTCAATGACTAGTTCTATCATCTGTTGTTGCATGTGTTACTTCACGAATTTATTCTCATAAACTTACCCTACAGAGGAGCAAGTTTACTCAGAGTAAAAACATTGCCCTAGGAGACTTTGTGTAAAAGTTGATCCATTATAAAAATGTCTTCCTGAGTCTGGAGACATGGCTCCATGATGGAGTCCCTGCTGCTCTTCCAGGAGATCCAAGTTCAGTTCCCAGCAATGTTGTCCAGACTGATGTGTGCGCGCGCGCGTGCGCAGACACACACACATACACACCACACACACACACACACAGAGAGAGAGAGAGAGAGAGAGAGAGAGAGAGAGAGAGAGAGAGAGA